TTTTTTTTTAAATAGTTGTAATTGAAGTATTAGTAGTAAAGACTTTGTCCAAGTCTTTAAGAATAATATCTGAAAGACCTGTATAAAAAGATCGGTTGAGTAGTCGAGAAATCGACTCTAAAACACAGTTTACGCGCTTAAAGACGCCACATTTAGCCTAGCTAGGTTCGAGTGCACAAGTTCTCAAGGCAGTATCTCAAACACTATAAATAGGATCAACTTTTAAATTTAGGACAATATTTTAAAGATGTTGTAGAATTTTATAAGYCAATAACATTGGATTTTTTAAACCCGTAAACCCCATGCAACACCGCAATTTGACAGCAGTAAGATCTAATGTGGGAAGGTAGTTKTAATTGCACAAAATATTGYGAAGCTCAAGTATCACTACTATAATTGCTGATTCRTTACAATAACTGAATTTAWTAGATTCCATGTCGATCTACGTCCATACCCGATCATCTTGCGTATCGATCGKGAATTGGAGGCTAACCCCGCATTCCGCGCCGCACATCCCTCCAACCAACCAGACTGTCCACCGGAGTTGCCAAACAAATAGAATTTCCCGTCAACAACTGCGAAGCGCCGCAAAACCAAAAAATGATCGCAGACAACACAATAACAATAACAAGAAGAAAAGTAGCAGCAGCAGCATCAAGCATAACCGAAACACCTGGAAGACGCCGAATCCATGCAATGGCGCACAAATTGAAAACAAACGAGACAAAATGTGGCACTTTCAAGCAGTTGAAACAAATCTGACCAAACGAAGCAGCGCAAAGTTGCAAATTTAATAAAGAAAAAAAAATAACAAAAACCACAAGACAAAATTTTGAAAGACGAATTGGCAAAACATTGAGACACATATACGTATGTATATCTATAAAGATATTTAAAAATACTTGAAACTTGCAAAATTCTGCAAAACCGTTWAATGGAGATCAGTGGTAGGATAAAGAGTCCACAAAGTGGCCCACGCTGAACCGCTCGACAACTAAACAAAATAAGCATATAATAAATGTATGAAGAAATTGTGAAATGCAAACTCAAAGAGGATAGAAAATGTGAGAGCTAATCGAACATTTGTAATGTGAGAAAGCATAAAAATTTTATTTAAAAAATATTTGGCAACAATTGTGAAAACTATCTAAAAGATATGAATACGTATTTTATAGATTACACTTAAACCCATACACACACACAAACATCTATATTATAAGCATTACGTAAAGAAGTATGTAAAACTATAAAAGGTTAAAGGAAAAAAATTGAGATTTCGAAAATTAAATGAAAATAAATTCGAACATAAAAAATTAAAAATTAGAACTTGTGAAATTATGTACGAAAAGCAAAATTAAATTCAGGGATTTTTAAGCAACTAGGAGGGAATAAGTGAAATTCGCAAAAAATGAACATACACACACATCCACACACAAACAACACAAGCAGACACTTGAGCAAGCCACTGAACAAAACACCAAACAATAACGGTGCAAACACAAAGAACTTGCAACAAAATACAAAACACGCAAATAAAAGAGTACAAAATGCAGTAAATTAATTCRTTGAAACCAAAAAGTACATAAAAGCATAAGTGAACAAGCAAAAGAAAAACTATTAGCTTCCTAAAGTGAACATGAAAATTAAGCATTACATTAAGCAACAACAAAAACGAAATGTATTTTAATAGTTGGACAAGCATTAGGATTTTCACAAAAAAATAACTATTAATATTAAAAAATACAATTAAAGCGCCTATTCACACGTACATTCATTATTGAGATTTCAATCAAAACTTTTTTTAATTTCGATGTTTTTACTAATCAAAACGGCTGGATAAATGATTTGCTCAGTTAACTAAACTTATTTTTGAACAATACCAACAATGATTTTCAGCATTCAAACTTTATCGAATGAAGAACTTTTATATAAAGTTTAACTCGTAGCGTCAAATATTAATTTGCTAAATTATTGACTAAAAATTCCCGTTTTGTCACACTTCGATTGTGAAATCAATTCAGCAAGCCAAAGTGTGACAAAATTACTTCATTCTCCTAATTTTCAATATCAAATTTAACCGATTTCTTTTRTAAGAAGTTATTCCCAAAGTGCGATATTGTCTTAAATATTCAATAAATTGAAAAAATCTATAAATTAAACGAAATTTGTTCACTCATATTTCAAGCAAACTAATCCAAGCCTTCAACCATTGAGTCAATTAGAGGACTCCAACTTGTCAAAAATAAATAAAACTTGTCAAAACAAACACAACAAAAAAAAAAGAATAAATTTATAAATTTGGAAACTTCTCAAAAAAATTGTTTTTGGTTTACAAACAAAAATGAATTTCCGCAATTCTCGGTTTCTATGTTTTCGGTTCGTTATAAACGAACTTGTACTTGTCAACTACGTTGAAATTTAATGAAATCACTCTTTCCATTGTCCACATTTTTTAAGTGAATATGCTTAGTTTGTTTGGCAAATCGAACAACTCAATACGGARTGCTGAAATACTTTTGTGATGGATAACTCGAGTAGTGAATTTACTTATCAAGCGCTGGTGATTAAAATTCAATCAATAATATAAATATACTATAAGTACATGTAATATCTCAAATGTCCTCTATGTATGTATATGTACTTCAGATTAATCTGTATAGCTAAAAAATGGTTTATAACAAATTTCAATACTCAAGCACAGGAAATAGTTTTTTAACTCAATGCAAATAGATATTTATGCTAATGAGATTTCATGTCATTTTATGTATTGCTGTATGTGCTTTAGTGAATAAAACTAAAGAGTAAATAATATAAAAACGAAAAAGATAAAMCTTAAATACATTTTCATGAGAAAACTTTCTGCAAACGATTACATAATTGTCATACAAAATTTTAATGAATAATAAAGTAAATGAATACATTGTCTTAATCCTTCAAAACTTGAATGCTGATCGTGTTTCATTACATGGAGTTTACGTGGTGGCCTGGTAAGTATTCGGTATTCAAATTTGCTTGTAACTGGTTATGCAATTTTTTGACAGAGTCCATATTTCCTCAAAAAGAACGTAACCATTAATGGCGACCATTATCGYGCGTTCCCACGACAGTCGGGTCTACGAAATCGGCACGGGCCAAGGACTGTCAACACGCAAAATTCTGCCGTTACAGCAACAACAATCATTATCGCACCATGATAACTCACTATTTGATGCCTGAAATTGAAGCTCGTGATCTCGGCGACTTTTGGTTTCAACAAGACTGTCTCACTAACCACACGTAGAAATATATAAAGTCTATGCGGGCAATCCCGTTTCGATTCAGGTCATTTTGCAAAAAAAACACGGGTGTCATTCGCCAGTTGCTAGTCGAAATGTTCCAAAGAATCATCGAAAATTGGACTCACAAGACCATCTGAAACGTAGCTGCGGCCAAAATATGAAAGAGGTAAGCTTAAATAAATAAATCACGCAGTGAAATCAAAGAGCGCTTGAAAACTACATATATGCTGAGCTTCTCTTATAATGGATCACAAAAAATTGTCATATCAATTTTTTTTTTTAATTCTTACATATTGACCAGAATACGTTGTAAAATAGTTTAGGAAAAAATCTAGTTATTTCTGGATTTTACAAAAAACTTCTTGCACTTCTGCGCTGTGGGTGTGAGGACATTTCTTTACGTTACAACATAGTTAGTATGTGTTTAAAAAATATATGTGGTAAATATCAAATGATTGATCATTCTTCAGCATCACCGTTCAGTGCTGTAAGCACTAACATACTTTTAGGCTACTGGCGCAAGCTGGTTGATCACAGCTGTTTCCATAAGATAAACAAGCGCAAACAAAAAATTGCAATAAAGTAAATAACAAAGCGTAATGTGMATAAAGTTAGCAGACAAACGTCTAAGCAGACAATCTATATAATTTTATGTTTTAAAGGATAAGGAATAAGTCGATACAGCGAGCGATAAGGGGTCGTTGATACTTTTGAGCCGGCAGTTGTTAGCGTTTTAATAATTTCACAATTGTCTGGTAGATTTAACAGCGCCACGACATGMATACAGCACTGMACAGTCGACAGCTTTTTCAAAGCATTTGGCAAACTCATCGCGTTTTGAAGATAAGCGCACAGCAAATATACAATTCAACGTCGCTCCACAAACCAGTGGAAACCAATGAAGACAAGAAGCCAATACTTTATTCGTACTGGCACAGCTCCTGCTCGTGGCGCGTTCGCACTGCACTTAACTGGAAGAATATTCCATATGAGACGCGAGCTGTCAACATACTCAAGCCGGAAAGCGGACATCATTCTGCCGAGTATCTTGCGATTAATCCTACGGCGCATGTGCCAACACTATATATAGGTGAGTGCTTTATGTAATATAAAAATTTTATTTCAATATGTTTTTTGATGAGATGGGAAGAACCTCATTGAGTCCATTGCCATTTTGCATTATTTGGAGGAGACGCGTCCGGTGCCAGCGCTGYTGCCGCAAGATGCATACGAACGTGCCAAGGTGCGTGAGATTGTAGAAATCATAGCCTCAGGCATACAGCCGTTACAAAATCGGAAAGTGCAGAAGCGTGTTGAGCACGATAAACGATTGGAGTGGGTTCAGCATTGGRTCAATAGCGGTTTTCGCGCTCTAGAGGAAAAGCTCTCTACTTCGGCGGGCAAATATTGTGTGGGCGATGAGATTTCAATGGCCGATTGCTGTCTGCTGCCGCAAATTTTTAATGCCAGAAAGTGAGTAATGAGAAAACAGAAAAAGACATACTAAATAACTCTCATTTCATTTGTAGCTCCAAAGTGGATATGCGACAATATCCGATTATTTCACGTATCGAAAGTGAATTGGAAATTATTCCCGCCTTTATAGCTGCTCATCCAAGGAATCAGCCGGACTGTCCAACGGAGTTATCTGGCAAATAATATTTTACAATATCGAAGATAAATAATACGTTGTATAATTATTTCCAACAACGATAAATGGGCATATTATTTAAAAAATTAATAAAATAATGTGCATTCACAGAATCTGTAATAAACTTTAAAAATCAGCAAATTCGTTTTAAAAACTTTTGGTTTCCTTGATCCCGTTTTCGAACTGCAAGGAGTAGCTCCGAAAAAAGTTGTCTGGTGATGTATATTTTTCTGCTTAAAATTATCAAAAAGCCGAGTAAAATAGTATAATAGATGAATGCAGATCATGATTTAAGGACTAAAAAAAATTTAGATTTTTGAAGAAATGCCAACCAATTTTTATCAAATATTTTTCTTTCGATCATTACCTTAAAAATATGTCTAAGGCCCAGCCGCTGAAAAGAAATGTTTGTCAATCATTCTAACAGCGACCCCAGTCAATCATTCTAACAGCGTTTCGAAAAAAACGCGGTTAAAGTCTTGGAATTAAATAAATAAGTTAAAATAATCTTAAAAATACGCTCAAATCACCGACACTATTTCAGATATTATTTTCAAATATATGGTATACATACATTCTTTCCCTTAAACACCTTAATTATCTTAAAGATATCGCAAAAGTTTTTATCGAAATAGTGCTTTTACTATTGATGTTCGTTAACACTATCTAAAAACGGCCCATATCGGTCTATAACTTTTCAAGACTACAGATTCTGAATGTTAGGACCGCTGTGGCTGGCTTTATACCGAAAATATTGGTTTATTTTGCATCATTATAATGGGGCGTTCACTAAGTGATTTCGTTTGAAGATAACAGCTGATTTCATTAAAGTTTTTCGCAGCCAACTTCACACTTAACCGCTTTACCGTATTATATTTAAACAGCTGAAACAGCTAGTGAGGCTTGTTTGTAAAAACAGTTCTAACATAGTTTGAAATAGTATTGGTTTTGTTTTGTTATTTTGAAGCTTTACATGTGGGTTCTTCATATTCTTACAGAACGAAATTTACTTACGGCATTGATTTGCTTATCAAACGTCAAAGAAGTAATTTATTTCTGAAGCGCATTGTTATTGACGACAAAAAATGGGTTGTTTATAAGAATGTAAAGCGCAAAAGAAGATGGTCTAAAATAAATCAGCTCAAACAATTTCGAAGGCCGATAATCACAAAAACAGGTTCTATTGTCTGTTAAGTGGGACTTCAAAGATATTTATTTCGAAATGTATTGTGATTAGTGTGGACAAACCATATTCCTCATACCTGGCACGTTCAGACTATTATTACTTTTTCTGGGATCTGCAAAATTTTTTTATGGGAGAACCTTCATGTCAAATCAGTACATCAAAACCCACTTGAACCAAAATATCTCAAAGAAGAGAACTAAGATAGTAACATATGGGACGGCTTTGCCATCTTAAAAACGGTTCGGTGTCTACAGACCATTAGCATCGCCAGCGGGTTTGGGGTCGAACCCRGAGAAAACGGAWCTGCTTGTGTTCACAAGAAACCTCAAAATTCTTCTATAGAGGTTGACATCAATAAATAGGACACTAGTCTCCCTCAAAGACCGTAACTAGTACCATGGAGTAGTCTTTGACATTAAAGTACTGTGGAAGCACATTGTGAAACGATGAGTTAGAAAGGCTAGCTATTCTTTATATGGGTATACCCATATGCTTAGCATAAACTGGGGGTTCTCTCGCTCTACCTTCTGTTGCTACACAGCCATTGTAAGATGAATTCTGCTCTTCTTGGTGCGGTAGTATAGTGGACAGGCRTACGGAACTCCCAGAAAATGGTTCACAGGCTAGCTGCGCCGTGCATAACAACTCCAACATCGACTCYTGAGCTGGTACTTAACCTGCCACGATTATTACCTCGGTGGGTAGTGACGATTTGGAAAGAAGGTTCAAAGTTAAAAAAAATTGCGCGCAACACTCTAAGCATTTATACCGATAGCTCGAAAATGGAGGATGGAGTTCATGAGCCATTGCGCAAGCCGCGGAGCTGGCATCTAATGCATCTGCCGGCATATCGGTCAGAAGTAGGATAGTGGGAAAGCAAGGCAACAATGGAAAGTTTTGCCAAAGCAAGACACTTCACTTCTACTGGGTGCTAGATCACAAAGGTATTGAAGGCAATGAAAGAGTGGTCCAGATTGCCAAGAATGTTGTATGGCTAACACCCAAAAACGTGATMAACATTGGTCCCCAYGGTATRATACACTAGARGAGGTATCGATATTGAAGTCAAAGAGTCTGCTAAAATTCGGTCAAGCGCCTCATGGGCTAACCGAACTGAACACCATCTAGCATCGCAAAGGAGCGAAACTGATCTATGCGTGGTTCATTGGCCTACCAGTCTAACCTTACTTGCGCAAAAAATTACATAGTGAATAGTACAATAGACACAWCACTTACCTCTCTTAAACAGCGGAACTCGGTCACCACAAATATAAACAATTTTATTATAATTTTGAATTTTTTTTTTTTTTTGTAATGTTAAATTGTTTTTATTGATTTCATGCCCATTATGTAATTAATGTATGTATGCAATTATGTATGTATGTATTACACGCTAAGAACTAATTTTCTTTAAAATTGATAACGATGAATGCGTTTATGGGCAATACGCAAGGTTGCAATTCGCAATCAGCAATACGCTACTAACAAAGGACTCGTACCTCGTACACACCTCTGCCACACTCGGTGCAACGGCAATCTCGATGAAGTTTTACGCCTCCACAGCTCCTCAAAACAGTTGTAGTTTAGTTAATTGTTGTTGTTGTTTATTTTCATTTATTTATATTTGTTTTATTTGCATTCATTTTAATTTATTACTCCGAGGGAATTTCATCGCAATCACAGTTTCTCTTTATGGCATTTACGCTTACTGATTTTATGTTTCATTTACTACTAATTCAATACAATTATCTCTTTCTATTTGGTTTTGGTTTTTTGTAAATATTGAAGTTTCGTATTTTAATTTGGGATTAGAGATTTTAAATAATCACTTGGATTTGGAATCGTCATTTGGTTTTTGTGTTTTTTCTTTTTAACATTTTGGATCTATTAGATTTTTAGGTTGTCTTTTGGTTTTGGTTTTTGTGTTTATTTTTGTTTTTGCTTGAAATATATGTATGCTTGCATGTTTGTTGTGTTGAAGTTTCAACAGCTGATTTTAAAATATTTGTGGTTTCATTCGAAGGTTTGTCAGAGTAACGCAGGTCCACTGCATTTACAACAATTCACTAGGTATATATATATACTGTATTATACATGTATATATATTTATGCACTTAAATATATATAAATATGCATGGGTTTCATGTATTTCGTATTGATCATATGCACATCTGTGAATTTTCGAAATTTGTTACTGTTGCTAATTGTAGTTGTTGTTAATGTTAATAATTCGATTTCATTACTTTGGAGTGGAAATCTGTATGCACTAAATCAATAGATTGTAATTAAGTTTAAAAATTGTAAATTTGTTCTAATAACAGTGAGCCTTGTAATAAATAAAAATTACTGGAGTGTTTTTGTTTTTGTTATTATTA